GAGTTTCGCAACATTTCACTGTGTTCATTTGAAACTTGCACATGGATCAAGAGACTGTAGTGTGAACAGAACAAGTGAATACTGCATGGTTTAAAATCAGGAACTGTGTGTATCAGGGTTGCATCCTCTCACCACAATTGCTCAATCTTTATGCTGAGCCAACATCTGTGAAGCTGGATTATATGAAGAAGAATGTGGCTCATTGAAGATAAGGGTGCTATAACAAAGTGAAGAAATCAAATGGTGCCCAATTATCAATCAGAATAGTATCTGGGATCTTAAAAGGTTGTATTCAAACAAGCAGCATCTAAGCAAGGAGTCAACTAAGTCCACATGGAAGAAGCACACCAGCTGTGTGATCCAAAGATGACAATAATAAAATTCAAATATGTTGAAGGGAAAAGTATCAGAGCTAAAATTATGAACACTCAATTGGTAGAAGGCTATGGAGAACTTTCTGGCTATGGAGAAATTGAAGCTCAAAACCCACCTACAGAGTAACTAATCAGATTAAGCCACTAGCCGATGCATGCTACCCGAAAGCAAGGGTCTCGAACAGCTTCACTATCAGACAGAGGTCATTGTAATCTTGATTATGATGGATCAAACTTGATACTTTGTCAGTTGACCTCCCTATTGACCCAACTTGAATGTGTTCTAGGTGCAAGTATGTCCTGCGTGTTCCATGACAAAAATTTCTTCCCTGGCTATTAAAATATTGATGGTGGTCTTTTCTTTCTTGATCATTATTCTCATTATTTGTATTTTTATCTTCAATTATTATTCTTTTATCCTTATCACTTTATTTCAATTTTGTTTTTTATTGTTTTATTGGGTTTTCCATTTTGTGAAGCACAGAAGGAGTGGATGCATAGAGAATAACTGATGCAAGGGTTTATAGGGGAGATAGAGGTGGGAATGGGAGATAGGGAGGGTAAGGGGATTTGGGGAGCAAACAATGAAAGCAGGAAAAAGGAGGGAGCACTAAAACTGATTGTGATTACACAACTCATTTTTAAGGCAATTTAACCATGGGATGGGGTGTTCTAAAATTGATTGTGATAATGATTGGAAAATTATTCTTGATATGATTAAATGATTGAACTATTGAATTGTATTATATGTGGATTAGGTGCCAATAAAACTGTACTCAAAAAAGAAGAAAAGTGTGGCAATAGGATTGGAGGAAGGCTATTAACAACCTATGGCATGCAGATGACACAACTTTGCTTGCTGAAAGTGAGGAGGGCTTAAAGCACTTGCTGAAGAAGATAAAGGGCAGCAGCCTTCAGTATGAATTACCACTCAGTGTAAAGAAAACCAAAATCCTCACACCTGGGCCAATAGGTAACATCATGATCAATGGATAAAAGGTTGAAGTTGTCAAGGATTTTGTCTTTCTTGGATCCACAATCAATGCTCATGGAAGACACAGTTAAGAGATCAAAAGACATATTACATGAGGTAAATCTGTTGCACAAGACCTATGTAGAATGTTGAACAGCAAGGATGTTACATTGAGGACTAAGGTGTGCCTGACAAATGCCATTGCATCATATACACATGATAATTGGACACTAAATAAGGAAATCCTGAATAGAATCAATGCATTTGAATTGTGGTGCTAGAAAAAATATTGAAAGTACCATGAACTGCTAAAAGGACAAACAGATCTGTATTGGAAGAAATAAGGCCAGAATGCTTTTTAGAGTTAACAATGTAAAGACTTCATGTTTTGGACATGTTTAAGAAGAGGCAAGTCCCTGGAGAAAGACATCATGTTTGGTAAAATGGAGGGGTGGGAAAAAAGAGCAAGGCTGTCAAAGTGATGGACCCAATGGGTTCAGGCATCAGAACAATTGTGAGGATGGTACAGGACAAGACAGTGTGTCCTTCTATTACCCATGGGGTTGCTCTGGGTCAGAGCTGACTTGATGGCACTTAACAACAACAATATCACATTGTCTTCAAAATTGAATATTGCTCCAAGCAAAAATAAAGAATTTTTTTTAATTTATTTATATTTTAGGAATGAAAAAATTGTAAGTCCCTTAGAATACATGAGAATGAAAATAAAATATATCAAAACCTTTGGGAAACACTATTCAGAGCGTAGTTTATAACAATAAATGTACATATCAAAGAAAAATTAAAAACCACAATCAATATATTAACGTAAAAATCTTCAACAACTAGAAAAAAGAGCAGTTAAATAAGCCTCAGTCACCAGAAAAAATGAAATAATAAAGATTAGAGCAGAAATAAATGAAACAGAAAACAATAAAATCAACAAGAGATAAAGTTGCTTTCTTGAAAGGCTTAACAAAATGGACAAGGATATACAATATTCATTGATAGGAAGACTTAACATTGTGAAAATGTCAATAGTATTCAAAGCAATGTATAAGCATAATGCAATTCCAATAGAGATCCCAGCATCATTCTTTAACGAGGTAGAAAAATTAATCACCAACTTTATATAGAAAGTGATCCACTACCACAGGGGCACGTGGGTGGGGCGCAAGTAGGGAGCCCTTCACTTCCCGAACTCAAAATCCACTACACAGCCACAGCAATCAGTTACCTACAGAAAACGACAGACACCACTTGTCAGTTTGTCATATTGTGGTGGCTTGTGTTGTTGCTCTGATGTAGAAAACATGTCACTGGTATTTCAAATGCTAGCAGGGTCAAACAAAATGAGTAGGTTACAGCAGAGCTTCCAGACTAAGAACAGACTACAAAGAAGGAATAGGATGTCTATATGAGGAATTAGCCATGTAAAACCATATGGACAGAATTGAAACATTCTCAGGTATTGAAAAAAATAAGACCAATGCCTTCAGTCTGAAATTGATCAAAAATGTTTCATTCTATGATGCAAAGGGTTCCAATGGTCAGAACCAGCTCAAGAGCACCTAACAATACCATCTTGGACTATGGGTTATAAGACACAAAGTGTTTTAATTGCCAGCAAGCACTGAATAATCATCTATTTCGAAAAGGTGGCAGTAGGCCAAATAAGGTTGGGAATCTATGAGCAGGGTGGTAAGACAGGTACAAATTTGAGTGGAGGGGAAGATAATATACATGAAGGAGATCGAAAAAAGGAGGAGGTGAGAAATAGAACCAGCCATTGGGAAGTTCAATTAGATGTTTAAGTTATTGAATACAAAAATAACAATAATCTGGTATGCAAATCTGCACTCATTCACAATAAAATATTTTGAAAAAGAATAGGTTTTCACAGGAAAACAAAGGAAGATAGGGAGAGAAGGGAAGTGACAGGCTAGTGGGTAGGCAATCATTAATTTGGGAGAACACGAATGTAATACACAATAGGAAGGAGGTTATAAAAAGTGGTGGAGGCCGGGAAAGACACTAGAGGTTTGCAAGATGTAAAGGCAACAGAGGCAAATATTGTTATATACAAAATCCTGCAACAGTGGGCATCAACGATTAGATCCTTTGATACACAAGTTAAATAGGTGACGGTGATAGAGTGGGAGAATATCCATTCATGTATATCGCTTGACAAAGGATATTTGGATATTTACTTTTGCTGCAAATATATCCACAAATGTGGTGGAGCAAACAAATGGCAAAGCTATAAAAACTTCTTAGACATAGACAAACACTTTGAAGGATTGAGTGGATGGGCCCGGGGAATCAGAACCACAGTTTCAGTAGACGCCAAGTCAAATGGCATAACATAGTTCACAAAGACCGTGCTCCACATCCTAACAACTGGGGTCTTAGAAGCTCGTGAGCAGTCCTCTCAGGTGCAAATATTGGTCTGTTTCCATGCAGAG